AGTCAAGACTGCGTTGATGTGCTGCAGATGCGTCGACCAAGAGGGACTATAGATCAAGATGTCGTCAAAAAACACAAGGACAAAATTACGCAGGAACGGCCGGAGCACTGCGTTCATGAGACTTTGGAATGTCGCGGTGCATTGGACAGCCCGAAGGGCATGACTAAGAACTCGAAGTGACCCTCATGAGTCCGAAAAGCAGTCTTCTCAATGTCATCAGCATGCATACGAACTTGATGGTACCCTGAACGCAAGTCCAGTTTGGAGAAAAACCGAGCCCCGTGAAGCTCATCCAGCAATTCTTCGACCACCGGAATTGGAAATTTGTCTTTAATGGTGAGCTTGTTCAAGGCACGGTAATCCACCCAGAACCTCCAGGAGCCGTCATGTTTTTTGACAAGTAAAACAGGAGCAGAGAACGTTGAGGTACTCAGATGGATCACCCCCATTTGCAGCATAGCGGCGCACTGGGATTCCAGTTCATCTTTCTGTAGTTGTGGGTAGCGGTAAGGCCGCATGGCCACTGGCACCGCATTTGGCACGAGATGAATGCGGTGATCACAGGCGCAAGCGGGCGGCAAGCCTTCGGGCGTGGCGAACACATCTTCAAATGAGTGGAGGAGCTTGTCGAGCAAGGCTGTTCCGATGTTGCGGCCCGCCTCGTGGAGAGCATGGAGGCGGCGAGTGGACTGCACGTCATAGTGGGTTGAGCCGATACCGCGCCAGAGCACGCGCCAACCTGCCTTGGTGAACGCCATGCACAAGTCATCAAAATCCCACAATATCGATCCGAGGGTGCGCAAGAAGTTGACACCGAGAACCATGTCCCAGCGGTCCAATGGAATAGTATAGCAGTCGACTGAGAAGACTTCTTCGGCAATGCGTATGCCGACATCGCGCGCGAGCCCCCGGCAAGCGACGCAGTCACCATTTGCGACCGTGACACCGGCACCTGGGCACAGTTCAAAGTGGATGCCAACGCGACGTGCGACGTCCCCATTGATGAATGTGTGAGTAGAACCCGAATCAAGCAACGCCACGCACTGCACGTTGCCCACTTGGACATAAACCTGCATAGTATCTTGAGTCCTGATGCCTGCAATGGCCGATAATGATATGGTGGGTTTGTCTTGGCCGACGTCTGACGTTTGTTCATCCTCATCAGACTCTGGCTCCTCCACAATATAATCTGTCACTTCAAGGTAAAACAGACGCGGACACTTGTGTCCCTACATGTATGGTTCATCATAGTTGTAACACAAGCCCAATTTGCGGCGATCTGCCATCTCTGTCGGTGTGAGACGCTTCAAAGGCCGGCTTGGAGAGGACGCCGAGGTTGCTGATGACGGTGTAGCACCCCCTGTCGATGGTAAGGCGGTCTATCTAGCCGGAGCGCGCTGAGGAGGACGACTTAGTGGTGCTGGGAGTGCGAGGGCCGCTGATGCATGGCGATGCTCGTAAGCCCGAGCCAAGCGCATGGAGCTCCACGTCAACCTGGATATACTCAGGGAGGCCCCCGGTAAACAGCTGTGCTTGTTGTAGCGGCGCCAGATGCCCCGCGTGTGCCAAGTGCGCTTGGAAGGCTTCCATGTAAGCATCGACGGAGGCACCGAACGGTAAGCGAGCGAGGTCGGCAAGATGGTTGGTGGACAGCGCCGGCCCAAAATGTTGGTGGCAGAGCAGACGAAAGTTGGCCCAGGACGAGCGGTCGGAGTCGCGTTCCAACACATAATACCATTGCTGTGCAGATCCCGTCATGTGGAAGGACGCGAGCCAAACCTTGTCCGCCTCACAAGTAAGCTGGCCGCGGAAGAAGGACTCGCAACGGTTGAGCCATCCGAGCGGGTCTTCTTTGCCGTCGTAAGTGGGGAAGGACAACTTATGGAACCTGGGAACGCCCTGGCTGTCCCCATGTTCCTCAGGGTGATGGCGCGGTTCATGCACCATCGTAGCAGAAGAGTAGATCGGCCCGTTCAGGATGGAGGACAACGATGGTACCGGTGACGGTGATGACGGAAACAGGATCGACTGAATCAGAAGCCCCGTCGGAGATGGTTGCGAGGTGACGCCAGCAGCCGTGGGCACCGGAAGCGGCGCCGTGGACCCCGACAGTGACGGCGAGGGCAGGATCTCTGAGACGACCGGCTCTGACGTCGGAAAGCCCCCATACCCTGGCATGCCATATTGTAGGAGCGGTGTGGTGGAGTACGGCAGGCGTGGTGGCATCGAAGGACCAGGATGGTTCTCGACAGTCACCAGGCGCAGGGACATCTCCGCCATCTGCCGCTGCATGCCTTGGAACATGTCTCCCATCTGCCGCTACATGCTTGCCAAGGCGGCCAGGGAGTCCTCAAGGGTCGGTGGTGTGGGAGGCGATGGAAGGGCGCCCGACGTGGCGAAAGGAACGGACGACGATGGTGTGGTGGTACCGGTGGTGGGCACCGCAGCGGCCGCGGCAGGAGCACCAGAGGAGGGCATGGTCTCTGATACTAGATTGTTGAGTCTTAGGGATCTGAGGGCGTAGGAGTAGGAGATGAGAGGCCTAGGCTTGAAACCCTGACGATGAACTGGCGGCGCCTGGCTAGAAACTCAGTGGCAATAGGAGCACCCGAGGGCCCAAGGTGAGATAAACTCAATCCTAGGCTCATCCATTCCATCATAATTGTTCAATACTTATACAAGCAAATCTTCAACCGACTCAACTCTAACGTAATCAAATAACAAACTCAAGAGATAAGTATCCTAGATTCTAGGACTTGATAACCAACTAGGCCGACTAAGCCGGGCTCCTAGCCACGGTGTCTGCGCCTGTAGACCGTACCGGTCATAACAACATCAGTTTTCACTCGATCGTCACTGGCTTTTTACGAAGAAAATTGCATACTATGCATGTTACATTGCTCGTGAACTTATTCTCATGTCTGCACATTAGGGAATTGATAGACCAATTGCATGTAAGATATCAAAAGTTGATAATACTTTTTTTTTTATTTTCTTCATAATTCTGGGCAGTGATACATGCTACTCCCCTAGGGCACTTCCTTTTGAAAACCACTAGATCTGAGTTATGGTTGTTGGAATCGACAAATTTTATTTGGTTGTTTCCCTTTTTATCGACATCAATGGTCATGCCAAAAAATTTCAACCTGAAAATGTTGAAGAGTGACTCGATGGGCTTAGGTCTATAGCGGAAAGAGTGGCCTGGGATTGAAACTGGTTGAATGATTATTTTTATGTGCATGTCAAAGACTTCGATGTTTGGTTTGGATAGCTCTTGTGCATTTGCATAAAAGTCCAATTGTAACACAATTCTATACCATTATCTCTTTTCCATACTTGGATCCTTTATTCATTTCACTTCTATATATTTTGATGGACCTGGAACATTATAGTTTGGACCTATAGGATCAATATGGTATTTTATATCCCTTATGAGTGAAAGAGTTTATTTCCTCACATTTCCTATATTTGATGTGCCTGAATTTTAAGATGATTTCAGACAACACTCTTGTACTATCAATTAGTATAAGTAAATTATCACTTTTGTGGTTTGTTATTTGTCTTTATGTCATAACATATCAATTTTTTTGTCCTCGTCTGACTATAAAAATAATTGTAAATTGTTAAATTGTCTTTATGTCAACACATATTAGATTTTGTCAGGTTTGTGGTTTTGTCTAACTGCCTTTTTATTCTCGGAACAAAAAATTACCGATTATGTCTACATAAATTGCTACGAACTAAAACTGCAATTTTAGTATAAAATATATGCAATAATCATCACCTGAAACAAAACTAAAATTCAGGCACCTGAAATTTAGCAAATCCCTTATTTCCTTAACTTACTCAGAGTAACACGCCAACTTTTATTTAGCTTTTTTCCCAACACATGGGAAACGGACTACTATTTTCTTTTTAATTTTTAAATTTGAATTTAGTTATTCACTAACAATAATATTTGCGATATCAACTAAGATTTACTAGAAATGTTATAAAATGCTATTGTCCAAACATAGACATGTTATGATGTGATTGTTTAAATTTATGATAGGTCACGAGGAGAAAATTTATTTTTCATTTGGCTCTTTGATGTGGTATATGGTATATCTTAATACTTCCTTTTCTATAATTTAATTAAACTTACGATAATTTGGTTTATGACAGTTGAAAATACCTTGGAGTATATCCTTCAGCGGGGGAAACTCTAGTATACGTACATTACTACTCCCTCCGTCACTAAATATTTGTTGTTTTCGCTTTTCAAGAAACAACTTTAACTAAATATATATAAAAGAATATTAATATCTATGGTACATAATTAATATCATTAGATAGATATTTGAATCTAGTTTTTTAATAAATTTATTTGGAGATATAAATGTTGTACGCATTTTTCTATAAATCAAGTCAAACTTTTAGTCCGGAAATCAATGGCGACAGTTAATTTAAGATAGATAGAGTATTATTTACTAGTTCAATAGACTGGCCATTTGTTATAAAAAAAAAGACTGACCATGTTCTTGAACCCGAAGCCAGGTAGCCGCCAAGGACGAGCCACGTCACCAAAATGCCCATTCTGCTTTGAGCCTTTGACTTTTCTCGGTGGGCTCTTTCCAACCCTCGAAATGCTGTCTATCACTCCGGTCCCTGTCACTGAGGTCAGCCTCTAGAGCACCATCTGCATATGCCAACACGTCAGCACCACCTCCCATCGCGCACGGGCCGCGTACTAATCGACTTCGCGCCCGTGCCTGGACCGGATCTTTTACGATCCAGAGCTCCTCGCATTCACACGTTTTCCACAACCCGGAGCTTCTAACCGGAAGTAGAAAGACGTTCCGAGCTCCCACCTGGCGCCGCTCTGTATCTGTGCACCGTGTCGCCGTGTGGCTCTCGATGGCTGTCAACCTATATAAGCGCCTCCACCCGCAACTTTCTGCTTCAGTTCAAAAAGTTCAAACACACTCCAACTCCAACAAGCCTCAATCTCGAGCTCGGTAATGACCAAGAAGCTCATCTCGGCCATGGCCGGGAAGCAAGGTTGCAAGGAGCAGCAGTTCATCGATCAGAGGAGACAGTCTCCGATTCATGGAGACACCAAGAGCGTGGTGGGGTTCGGCGGCAGGCTGATCTCCCATGAGCAGGAGGACGCCATCATCGTCGCTGCTCTGCGGCACGTGGTGTCCGGGTACAGCACGCCGCCGCCGGAGGTCGTCACGGTGGCGGGCGGGGAGGCGTGCGGGGTCTGCGGCATCGACGGATGCCTCGGCTGCGACTTCTTCGGGGCGCCGGAGCTGACGCAGGAAGGAGTAGTGAACGGCGGCACGGGGCAGATGGCGACAGCATCGGTTGGGGTTGCGGCAGCGGCGGTGGGAGGGGGGCACGAGCAGAGGCCGCGGCGGCGTCGGAAGAAGAACATGTACCGCGGCGTACGGCAGCGGCCGTGGGGAAGTGGGCGGCGGAGATCCGCGACCCGCGGCGCGCGGCGCGCGTGTGGCTGGGCACGTTCGACACCGCGGAGGAGGCCGCCAGGGCCTACGACTGCGGCGCGATCGAGTTCCGCGGCGCGCGCGCGAAGCTCAATTTCCCGGGCCACGAGGCGCTGTCGTCGTTCCAGGGCCACGGCCGCGGCGACACTTGTGCCACCCCGGCGGCGAACACCGAGACGCAGACACCGATGCTGACGCCGTCGCCGTGCAGTGCAGACGCCGCGGAGGCGGCGGCGCCGGGAGAGTGGCAGCTGGGCGGTGCGGACGGAGCGGGAGACGAGCTGTGGGAAGGTCTACTACAGGACCTGATGAAGCAGGACGAGGCGGACCTCTGGTTCGCGCCATTTTCTGGCGCTGCATCCATCATCTAGTTTTTGAGCTCTTGTATTGTACACACGACACAAAGCGTGGTTACTGACAGGATCTCAGCTAGACTGACCAGCATTCTTTTGTTGTGTATTGAAACTAAGCATAGCTAGTTGGTTCGTTGGAGGTGGATTAATTTGGAAGAGGGGTGGCATTCTTTTGTTGTGTCAGCCTGTTCGCTTGCTCGTAAACGATCGTAAATTTTCAGCCGAGAACAGTGTTTTTTTCTCACACCAAACCAGTCAACAGTAAATAATCCACGATACGATACGGTCTCCCGAACAGACTGTGTATTGATTGGTGGATAGAGATTTTTTTTTCTCAATGGAATTACTTGGGAAACTGTGTTGATAGACTGAACATTTTTGTACTCTGGCTGGTGAGATTCTTTGACGAGTTTACTGCTTGTTCACTGTACTCAGTATATGGTTAATAAGAAAACATACTGAAAAAAATCGTTTTTTTATAAAGAAATAAAAAATCATTGACCGAGCCATATATAACTCGTCAGAGGGCAAACGTCCCAGGTCAAAACAAACATGGTTAAGGAAAGTAAGAAAGTGCCGAGTCAATGTTAATTCATCAGAAGCTGTTTCGACTGATGGTTTCTGCGGCTGATAAGTCGACTGAAACCGATTTATTATAAGAAAAAAATATTATACCATGACTGATAAATCAAGCTGATAAGTTAAAGAGAAAATTTCTTTCTTTCGTCTGTCATGCTATACTTACCTGCCCTTTTTGTTTCGCTAAATCTATTTCTTGCTCGAGCAATTCTCGGCGTTGTGTCACTCGATTTGTGTGCCGTCAGATGTAGCGTCCGAACGGAGGCGATGGCATGTTGCGGGGACCAGGGTGGTGTGGTGCAGGTGAGATTGACGTGCGCCTGGTGTGGGGACCAGGGGGCTGTGTGGTCAGGTGTACGCACGACTTGTTTAGTTTCTCCCTAAAGTTCAATCCTTATTTCAGTATTAAATATAAATTAAAAATAATAACTAATTATACAGTTTACGACTAATTGTGAGACGAATCTTTTAAGTCTAATTAGTCCATGATTTGACAATACGCATATGCTAATGATGAATTAATTAGGCTTAATAAATTCGTCTCATAGATTAATAACGGATTCTATAATTTGTTTTTTATTAGTATCCGAACACCGGTGATATAACACTCGATTTGACCCCAAAACTTTACAACTGAATTTAAATAAGCCCGCAGATATATGTGACCCGTCCTGTCAATCATCTCGACCCTAGAATCAGTTGTTCAGTAGTATCAAATTACATTTCATTATACCATATTTTACTATTTTTATTTGAGTGTAAATCTTATATTTAATTGGTGTAAATTAATTATTCGTAAATGAGAATGATCAGAATTACTTGAACAGTCATATGATCTGTTTTTATTTTATTTTATGTATGTTTTATTTGCTTCTCTTTCAAAAATTTTTAATTTGGTTTTCATAGAAATAATCTGGTTATTTTTTGTTTGTTTAATATTTCTGGATTATTTGATATTTTTTTGGCTTTTTTTTATTTTCTGTATGTTTTATTTGGTTCCTCTTTAAAAAAATTTAATTTGGCTTCTATAGAAATAATCTGGCTATTTTTTTGATTTGTTTCATTGTTTGTGTTATATTTTTGCATTACTTGGATAATTTTTTTTGGTTGATTTGATTTGGATCCAACGGTCATGAAATCGTGTGTTGCTACGGAAAGAATCACTCGATTCTATCTTTTCATTTCAATCGAGTGTCAGGTGTCACTCGAGTGTTACCTGCCCCCGAAACACCTGGCAGCCGGGTAGACAGACCCGCGGCTCCAGCTGCTTCGTGCTGGGTCCGCCGCTTCGTCAGGTGCGCTCGGCGAGACGGCATACGGCAACAACAGACACGATGTTCAGGCGACAGGCGCAACTGTGCAGTAGAAGATGAAAAGTCTGACAGTGAGTGTGGGTCCATGTGTGGCTGCGTAGCTGTGTTGTCTGTTCGATTGACTGGTTAGTTTATGTGAGAGAAAAATATTGGTAGCTGGTTTATATAAACAGTATTCATGTGCTAGTCAGTCAGCCCCGGCCGAACACGCTAACAGCCGGGATACAGGCCAACGTAACGTGCTTTAATTAGCACAGATGGCGGCAGATAAAAAAAAACATGTCGTATGACCCATAGCCAGGTATTTAATGCTTTGTATGTACTACCTTCTTAAAAAAAAACAATTCTCGGTGAGCCGAGAAGTCAGCCAATTTGAACGTTGACTATAATTATATAAAAAATACTAATATTTCTAATATAAAATTAGTATTATTAGATTAGTCATAGAATATATTTTCATAATAAATTTAATTAGAAACATAAATATTAATACTATTTGCTATAAATTTGGTTAAACTTGAGCTGTTTTGACTGGCACGGATCCTATAATTACATTTTTTTTCTGGATGGAGGGAATAGATAAGATTAATCATAAATACAATTTTGTATACCATTATGTTGCTAGTTGATACATAATCTTTATACAACTAAAAAGATCTGGATGTCATCGTCAGATTAGTATTGCTAGTTGATACATAATCTTTATACAACTAAAAAGATCTAGATGTCATCATTAGATTAGTAACTAATCGCTTCGCGCTGCTCTAGACCTTCTTTTTTCAGTCAAAATAATATTTTTCTCTCGTACCAAGTCAGCTAGAAAAGTGTTTTGTTTGTTTTTTCGGCGAAGCAAACTAGCCCTGATCGCCGCGACGTACCTTCCTCCTTCCATTGCGCGCGGTGCCCGCAGAACCGTCGCACGGTCCACAATCCCCCCTTCTTCTCCACGCGCCGCTCGCACAAACACCCCACCCCCACACGCCCCGTACGCCTCCGTGCCCCTCCCACGCCGCCTCCGCTGCTCTGACCCATCGCGCCGCGCGCCTGTTCTGCCAAGGCGGCATGGCGGCACGGTCGCGGCTTCTCGCCACAGCAGCGGCGCACGGCCCCCACAGTCTGCCTGCCGCGCCAACGAGCGCCCCCTCCGTCGCCAACGCCGGCAGCAGGAGGACCCCGAACCGTGCCGAGCTTCGTCCCTGCGGTTGGCGCAGTGAGAGCGCGGTCGAGCGCGCCCCAGCAGTCGGTAGCTACCGGTTTCGGCTTCGGATCTGCCGTCGCCATGGATGCCCAACCTTCACTGGAGCTTCGTGGGCTCGTGGCCGTGAATGGACTCCTCCGGCAAGGTGGGTGACTGGCATTCTCCAGCGAGCGAGGTGGTGCCCGGATGCCTCTGCCCTAGACTCCTTCAACAAGCGGAGCGTCTAGAGAGGAGTGGAGCCGCCTGGATGCTTCATATGATGTGGGAAAACAGAGCGCATCGGGAGCCGAGAGAAAAGCTGGCACGTGACCTCCTACTTCTGGCCTAATGTTGTTCTGTTCGTGGTGGAGTAGTAGGCCACTGTAGCGACACTAATCAGAAAGCACACTCTAAAGATTTCATTCAGATTTGATAATAATTGTCCAATCATTGACTAATTAGGCTCAAAACGTTTCGCCTCAGAAAGTACAACCAAATCTGTGCAATTAGTTTTGATTTCGTCAACATCTAAGACTTCGATGCATATACCGTAAATTTGATGTGATAGAAATCTTCTTTTTTGCATAGTGCAAAATTCAGGAATCTGGGAACTAAACATGGCCGTAGAGTGAAAGACAGAGTTTGTCCAGGTACAGAGAGGTCCTGGTTACTGACGAGTTACTGTGCTCATGAAGAAAGAGCAGAGAAGGAAGAATGGATGGAATAAGTCAAACTTAAATAAAAATAGATATATTACATTATTTAAAAAAAACATTAATATAAATGTTATATTATATACAGTTTTTTTTTGAAACTTAGTTGCAACATTTTTTGCTGCATCCGGCACTAGCTTGAGCTCTGTTTGGGGCAGCGTTTGCTTAAGCAAATAATCCCGCACAAACGCCCTGCAATTTGGGCCTGGTCGCGAACGCGCTTCTGCGATCTCCGGTCGCCCGCAACGTTCATGAAATCGCGAGCTCGACCTCGCATTTCCGAAATCGCAACCGCGTTTCTCTCCGTGCCCCTCCTCCCTCCCGACCCCGAGCGGTCCCGTCATCCCGTGCCCGTGCCCGATGCCAATCCTCTCGAGCGCTCTCTCTCTCTCTCTCTCGACGCTCGCTCTTCTCCACCGCCGCCGCCTCCCTTCATCCCCGCCGCCGCCTCTCTCCAGCCCGGCCGCGGCCTCCCCTGGGGCAGATCCGCCGCCGGCGGCGACGGCCTCCCTAGCGCCAGGCAAATCTGAGGCCAGCGGCGGCTTCCTCCCCAGCGCCGGGCGGATCTGAGGCCAGCGCCGGGAGGATCCGAGGCCAGCGGCTTCCTCCCCAATGCCTCCCTCTGAGCTCCAGTCGGCCTCCACCAAGCTGCCCGGAATCGGCTCCACTGTCCCCTGCGTTGAAGAAGAAGGACCGGGATGGAAATAGAAACTTTGATCTGAGTCCAGTTGCAAGGTTGTATACTCATAGGAACAGTGCTGCACGGTTTGTGAAAAGTCCAGGGTTTTCAATGTAAAAATGTCCTACTCAGCCAAACGCCCCGACTCAGATAAGTGGAACCAAATAGGGCCTGAAAGCTGGGGGTCAGTTTCTAACACCAGTTCATGCCTACTTGTTTTGAAATCTGAAAGAAAAGAAAAGAGAAGTGTGCTACAAAGTGCAATGCATCTAGCAGACTAGCAGCACTAAATCTACAAGAAAAGAGATTCAAAGAAGTCTAAAAGAAAAGAGAAACATACTCACAAACAAATGGTCGTACTCAAAAGCAAACTGAATAGACACAAGCTGATGAAACAGACAGACTGAAAAAGCGAAAGCCATTCAGTTCATGCAACTGCCCATCTGCCATGTATACAGAACAAGCAGAATACACAAACGGCATGGTTACGGAACTTAAAACTTGCAGAAATTAGCTATCAGGTAGAAAGTCACTAATTACCAGTACCACATTACAGC